CTTCGTATGTACCAAATTGAACGGCCCTGATTGCAAGTACTGATAATCAGACTCAGGTCTGGCTGTCACAGTTAGCTAGTTGGTTAATATCTTAGCTATGGTTCGTTACCTCTCTGTCTCATCTAGAGCATTATATTTCTAGCTTGGCATACCAGAGCTAAACCCAACACTTCTGTGCCAATCAATGGACCAGCACATTTGGAGTTGTTCCTGTAGCAACATATGCTGCTTATTATTGATTGAATACTTAGAATGAAGCTTATTGGACAGATTTTACCCCTCGCATTATACGTATGCCAGGTATGACTCTCCATTGCCAGGTGTCCAACTTCAATAGAGATATTTTCCTTCTTTCTTCCGGAATGGAGGAACATGATATCTCTATCAGGTCCTGGTTAGATCAGTTTGTGGAGCCTTCTGCTCCTAGTACCTAGGCTGCTTTCTTTTGGTGCCATTTAGCATCCCCCCTCCTTTTGTAATTTTTCCCTTTCTGCTGTATATATTTTCCTCTCAATTAATAAAATTCACTGTCGGGGTCTTTCCTGAAGTTTTCAGTTAAATATAATATAGTTTGGTGTTATTTTTCTTATAAGTTCTTTCTTGTCTTATTGTTTTCCAAAGCGGTGTATCTAGAATTATGTTTCTATAGCATGTATCCAGTTGTGAGTGCTTCACTTAGTCATGGTTCTTTTTATCTTTTATGTCAAGTTGATTTATTGTTACAGTTTTCTTAAGCTATCACATAACCATCTGTAAAATGATTAGCTTCTTCCTGAGAAGTGACCGATTTTCTGCATAGTGTATACATATGTATTAATAATTTTTCTTATGTGGATTCAGTTCGAGGATATGGATAGTCATGGAACCAAGGTGGTGATATACAATTTATGGATGAATGACGATGGCCTTTTAGAACTTGACTTTGATGATGATGACGAGGTTAGTTGCTCATGAAATTCTCTTTGGATGCATTTTTTCCTCGAAAATTCAGGAGCGTTGCGTTCCGTTTTCATCAAGAGGGAATAGAGAAAAGGAGTCACCCTCACCCACCCACCCACTCATTTGCGACCCCCACCCAACCACCCACCCATTTGCGACTGTAGGATCACCGAAACATTTGGATTGGTGTCATAAGCATTAAAGACCAGAGTTCCAACACCTCCAGACCCCAGCCTATAGTACCCTGATATGGAAATCCAAGTGCACCCTGAAGATTAAGAGCTTTGTTTGCCTCCTTAAGAACAGGCTCAATACCAAAGACATGCTAGAATGACACTGCACTCCTTCTGGGGGGTTTTTAACTCTGTGCTCTGCAATTCTGATGCTCATGAGGACAGGGCGCACCTCTTGGGGTCATGTAATTTCAGTCTTGGCTACTGGGCCAAGATTGGCATTCATTTCCACCCTCCTATGGAGCTTATGGAAAGCCTTGTAGGCCAGGTCAAGAGTACAATCAGGAAGCCTTTCGCTTTTGAAGTCTTCTCAGTCTCTGCCTGGGGTATTTACTACTTAGAAGCAAAAGAACGCCAGGATCTTTGAAAATATTTTCCCTTGCAGGGCATCTTGGTTTTTCAATTTAAGAATGGACCTCTTCCTTTCTTATAGAATGAAGGATGACCATGCTTCTTCTCTTAGGGTATGACTGGATCAGCTAGATGATCCTTAGGCTCCCTCTCTAGTTCTGTCCCCTCTTGTACATTCTCTCCCAACGTGCACATATTTTTCTCTAATTAAAATATATTTACTGTCACCCCCCACGCCCTACAGTTTGAGTTCAAAAGGAAAAAACTGAACGTGAATAAATAGTTTTATTTTTTATTTGCAGAACATGGTTATTTTCCCCACATTGGCAGTTTGTTTTACGATGCTTTTTCTTGTTGCCTAACTTTCAGGACATATTGCTTCGGGATCAAGGTCAAAACAGTGGGGCGTCAACGAAGATTCAAAAAGAAATTATTCAGCAACATATATCTCACAGACTGAGATTCTCATTACGTGTAAGTTTTATTTCTTTATATTGTTCACTTTTCTCATAAGCCTTACCATATTGTACTAGAAATTCTTGGTTCTCAATATGCAGGCATATAGCTCCATCCTTTACCTCAAGAAGTTTGAGAACTTCCAAATTATACTAAGAGGAAAGCCTGTCGAACAGATAAACATTGCCAATGAGCTGAAGTTTAAGAAAGTAGTTACTTACAAACCTCAAGTTGCCCATGATTCTCAAGTGGTAAGTGCATTTGTGCATCTGCTATTCCTTTTCAGGATATTCTTGTCGTGAACTATCGAGGTACCATCTAGCAGAAGATGAGCTTTTTGCTAGTCTTGACGGCAACCAATTAGATAACTACCCCGCGGAAGATGGCCAGAAGGCATTGCTTAAAGAGCATTAGTGTATAGAAACAGGTGGTAGATAGATTGGGATGAGAGAACTAGATGGGTTGAGAAGTAGCAAGTACTGATGAAAGCAACTTATGTGTTGCTTGTTCCAAAAGATCAGAATACATATCTTATATTGTAGTACTAAACTTGACCCCAATATATGGGGCAAAAATGACGAATCTGTCCTCTCTCCGAAAGTTGGGGCAAAACGATGTGTAAAAAACTAAAATTACAACCAAAACCATACTGGCTGTCTTTGATTGTTTGCTGACCGTCGGAGCTTGAAAGTTGAACTGAACTGGCAGTATGGGAAAGGAAAACTGCAAATGCCCTCGCCATACTAGGCTTTGAAGACCACAATAGCCACTCACTGCTAGAAACAAGATTTAGTAATGCTGAAGTAACATCGGTTGGGGCATTACCCTCTGCAACGCAGGCTTACAATCCTTCACCACTAGTCCAGAGGGTTGGGGAAACTGAGCCATGCTGCAAAACACATCGAGATAAAAGATCGAGATCACCGCACCAAGAGACAGCCAACTGCTTCCATTGATTGACACACCAACTGCAGAGATCCGAAGAGAGCCAACAGATCTTGCAACACCTACCCTCACAGGCCCTTCGCCGGCACCTGATCGGACTTCGTCAATGTAGGGAGAGGCCCGAGAGACCTTTTCGAACGTGTCATCACCGTCAGCACCTTGTCAATGCCGCTAGGGAAACAAGGACATATACTCCCTCCGTTCCTGAATATAAGTCTTTTTAGAGATTCTAATGTGAACTACATACGGAGCAAAATGAGTGAATCTACGCTCTAAAATATGTCTATTATATATATCCGTATGTAATCCTTATTGAAATCTCTAAAAAGACTTATATTTAGGAACAGAGGGAGTAAGAACCAAGAGAAATGAAAGGAACGGGTACCCACTCCTCTGGC